TCTCTCTCTCTCTGTCTCTCTCTGTCTCTCTCTGTCTCTCTCTGTCTCTCTCTCTCTGTCTCTCTCTGTCTCTGTCTCTGTCTCTCTCTCTCTCTCTCTCTCTCTCTCTCTCTCTCTCTCTCTCTGAGGTTTATTTGCCTCTAGGAAGTAGGCAGTGTGAAGAGGTTCTCAGTATCGATGTCACCTAAGAAGGCAGCTAATCAGAGAATCTCCTGCCCTGGTAGTTGGGTGGGAAGGGCTACAAGGTTCTCTTCCCATGAACAATGCTAGAGCAGTTCCAGAATATTCCAGAAATGCCCATGCAAGCTATCTCTCATGCACAGTTATCTCTTCCTTGAGGTTCACAACAACACATGGGAGAAGGGGCCATCTTGTCAGAAGTTCCTAATCCTTCAGATGAGTGGGGGAAAGGAGGCTACTTGAGCACCCACTTTGTGACAGCAGGAACTCAGCCTGGGACTTCCAATACTCAGCCCAGGAGTTGGCCTCCAAGTTTTCTTCAGAGCCTAGTCACTTGGGGGTGGGGTGGCTTCCAGTCCTACTACCTGGACCCCCTAGGAGCTCTCTGGAAGGGTCACTTACAGGTCGACCTATAATGATGGAGTTTGAGGAATGCCCAAAGCCGTGTTGTTGCTCCTGTAGCCGTGTGGCCAGGTCTTGTTTCTCTCGTCCCCAGCGTCGAGCTGAGTCCTCTAGCTGCAAACATGGAGAGGGGCAGTTGGAAAACCAGTGTAGAAGGGCTCCTCCTAGGGGAACCAAAGCCTCAGTCTGCTCTCTGTGCAGAAAGCAAAGTTCTGGACCATGTGGGCTTGACACCTTCCCAAGATACCTCAGCAGTAGCAGAGGGACCAAACAAGCAGCTGGACTAAGACAGACCTTTTTTGCAGTTCAGTGGAGCCCTGATCCTGAGTCCATACTGGGTTTTGACTCTGGTCATACACTGAGGTTGACCTAGTCACACACTGAGGCCTGAGCCCTAACCATGGTTATACACTGAACTCTGGTGCTGGTCACATACGGATCTCTAATCTTTGTCATTGATCCTGAGCCTGGTCACAGGCTGAACAGTAAGCCTGACAGCTGCCGCACCTCGCCTACCTGGTTTTCCAGGGATAAGATCCGACTATGAGCTTGTTCCAGCTTGGCCAGAAGGTTAAACTTGTCCAAAGTACTGCCAAGGAGATCCTGTGGGAAAGCAGAAAGTCATGTAAGGCCCTAGCTGGGGTAAGAGGCATGTGAGCTGAGGAAGGAATGAGGTTCTATAGGAAAACCTAGCTGTAGGTATGGGTTCCAAACTAAGTTGCTGATACAGAATCTCGGTCCCTGACTTGGGCCTCTTTCTTAAGATCTGCAGAGGACTTGGTTGGTATGAACTTTTTTTTTTCTTTTTAATAACTCAGGCTGGCCTCAAACTCATTATGTACTGAGAATGACTTTGAACTTCTAATCTTCCTGTCTCCATCTCCTGACTGCTGGAATTGCAAGCATGTAGGTTTAGGCAGGGCTGGGGATTGAATGCAAGGCTTTGTGTGTGCTAGGCAAACACTCTATGAACAGCTACATCACCAGCCCATACCTAATGTTTTAACACATCAACTGTTTATATAAAATGCACCCAACCCTTTAATGCTCAGGAGGTGGTTGAGGTGGGAGTCTTTTTGAAGAGTAAAGGCTCAGTGAAGTAATGGTGTGTATCTCCTAAGCTTTACCTGGCTGCTCACATATCAGGACATTCCAAACAGAACTTACCTCTTGGGATGAAGAGAAACACCAGTGTCCCCTTGCCACCATAACTCCAAATATTGATTTTGGGTTTGTGTATAGCAGGGGCACCTGGAGCAGCCTGGGCAGTGGAGGGGCCCTGGGACACCCACCTGTGCAGGCAGGGTCTCTGTGCACTTGGAGTGACCTGGGCCATCTGTGTCTCGTAGCCTCTCTGTCAAGTCTTCACTTGCTCCCAACTGCCCGGGATCCACCTGGGATGGGGAAAAGGGCTCTCCAAGGCTGTACCAATCCCAAGAAAAACTCTAGAAGGAAGTTCTGAGAGGTTCATGGTAGGAGCCAGACATTTGGCAAAAGGAGTCAGGGTTCAGGGTCAAAGGTGAATCTGAGACTTGCTCTCTCCAGGGTGTTAGATGATGGCAAGTCATGTGTCTTAGGGACATAAGAGCAAAGCCTGGGCGTGAATGTTCTTGGTGACACTGAGCCCTGGGAAGCCCAGCTTCTGATCTAGATTTTCAGCTTCACTAATTTTGGGGGTGACTGTGAGGTGCTTGCTGATCAGTGCTGGCAGGCTCAGGCCAGCCTGTTGGCAGCGCTTACCGGCAGGGCCTGTTGCTGCAGAATGATGGGGGCTGGCTGCTGGTGGTTCTTTTCCAGCTCTGCCCGCAACCTGGTGTTTTCTGCTAGCAGAACCATGTAGAGATCAATAGGCAGGTTCTCTCCCATGGGGCCCAGGTGTATGCCAGGTGCTGTGACCACAGGGAAGCCTGTGAATATGGCCACAGACGCTTGTGAGATGGGCTTTCTTGCCTCTATGTCTCTATCTGCCCCAACATTTTGCTTCATTCTGGTCCCAAATAACCAATGGTTCTCTATTGCCAGTGGAATCAGGTCTGAATTCCTCAGGCTGTCATTCTAGGCTGTCTAGACTTGCACTTCATGTTTTCTCTGTGTCCCTCCCTAGTAGTTTGTCCTCCAAATATTTCTGCTCTTCGCCTCCTTTTCCTCTCCCTGCTCTGCTCCTGGTGTTGTCACTCCCAGGTCCTTTGACCTGGTTGTTACCTTCCCTAGACTCTTGACCAGACTCCAGGTGACTGAAGGGTCCCTTAGGCTGATATTGTTTTCTAAAGGCTTTCAACCCCCCCTCCTCAAGTGGAGGCTGAATCCAGAGCCAGACCTTGGAGAGGCTTCCCATGTGGCCCAGGGAGATCCTTAGCTTTAGGCTGATCTGATATGGTATCACTTTGTTCTTTCCTACTCATCAGAGCCACCTCTGATTGGCAGTTGGTGATAGTTGCGGTTTACACCAATGGGGAAAACAAATTGATTTCATCCAAGTGGTTTTGTCTGTTTGCTTTATGGAGACAGAATCGTGAAAGATGCAGGGAGGTAGGGAATCAGACCAAGGGTCTTTGAGCTAAGGAGTTGGGGGCTTCTGTCTAAGTGATCCTCCTCCTGGGGAAGTCTCTTTCTGCTCCCCCTAGCTCCCTGGTCCACAGGACCTCAACCTGGAGGTCTGGCCTCTTTCTATCTGGCTCCACAGTGTCCCTGTGTCCTAAGGGATTTCCTGGCAGAAGGAAGGACTCTGGATACCATGGAAGCTCTTAGCACCTGAGAGAAAAAGCAAGCAGTACTGCGCTGGGTATCTCAAGCCCACAGACATAACTGAACATTGGCCTCTCCCTGCAGGTTCTCCTGAAGCTAGGAAGCTCCAGAGCAGATCAAAAGCTGGAGAGTCATTCACTCCCATCCACCCTGGGGAGTGGATTCACCCATATTGGGTTTTCCTGGTGGCCTGTTCTGTAGTGCAGTCTCCTTCCTCTCATGCAGCCTGTCCTCTAGCACCTGCTCCATCTTCTTAATCACCTGGTGACAGAGACCAAGGCTGAGTTGACCTGGGGGCTCCAAAACTTCCCCATCTCCACAGGGATGCCAGCACCTGCCTTCTCCTGGTGCCACACGGTGTCCTCCAGCGCCTTCATCTTCTGCAGCTTGTCCTGGTACTGTTTTAGTAGCACAGCCTGTGGCTGCTGAGCCTGGTATAGAAGCAGCAGTTCCTTCTCTCGATCATTCTTCTGTGGGGCGTGGAGGCAAATGGGTGCCCGGGAGTCACCCCAACCCTGAGGTACATGTGGGACCCTGCTGACTCCTCCACTGGTCAATCCCCCTCTCCTTTCTGTGTTTTCCTTCTTCTCTAGACATTCCTCCTTGATGTTGCCCAGCAGTACCTTTCCGCTGCCCAGCAAGCCCCAGCTCACCCGAATCAGCTCATTCTGCAGGTGCTGTACCCTGTCCCGAAGTCTCTTCATATCCAGATCTCTCAGCAGCAGCTTCTGCTTCATGGACACCACTGGGATGTGTGGGAGCCAGCTCAGGGGTGGGTGGAGGCACAGGTCCTCTAGCTCTGGGGTTTGACCCTGACTGCAGTCTCCAGTTCCCATCCCTGAGAGGTTCCACCTGGGCAGATGGTGTGAGTGAGTGTGTATAGAGTGTTCATGTGTGTGTGTGTGTGTGTGTGTGTGTGTGTGTGTGTGTGGGGGGAGAGAGAGAGAGAGAGAGAGAGAGAGAGCGAGAGAGAGAGAGAGAGAGAGAGAGAGAGAGAGAGAGAGAGAGAGAGAGAGAGAGAGAGAAAGTTCTGACAGCCCCAGTGCAGTTGCACACACATCTGTCGAAAGCTCCCTCCATGCAAGCCCCAGGCTATGCTGCAACCCAGAGCCTGGGCGCTGCAGGGATCCAGAGGTTCTTAGAAGCCCATGTTTCCTCACCCAGGCTCTCCTCTTCAGCTCTGCTCTGCTCTTCTTCCATGTCTTGCTGGGTCAAGTGGCTCCTCAGCATGCGGTTCTCCCCCTCCAGGATGTTGGCCTGCTTCCGCAGAGACAGGATGTCCTCTGCCATCTTCTGCATGGCCCGCCGGTAGTTGTTCATCTCCTATGATCCCAGAGTTTTCAGCTGAACCTTGCCCACTTCCCAAGTGTCCAGGAACCCATCCCACATCTGCACCAACAGTGAGCTACTCCCAAGGTCAGTGAGCAGTCAGGCTGTGCCCCAAGGCTTAGCAACTTGTCAGGAACGGTTATTAGGGCTGGCCCCCATTCCTCCTGCAACATTAGGACAGTGCTTACATAACATGCTCAAGGCCCTAGGTTCCATCCGCAGGGCCTTCCTAACAGGGCCATCCTCCCAGGGGCCACACTGATTCCTGATTCAGGTGACACTAAGGGCTTCCAGGGTTCAGACACCTGGTGAGGAAGCCTTCAGGCAACAGACTTAAAAAGATAGAGCTGTTCTGAGTAAATCAATTACTTCTTTGCCTTCTCTATCCTGCCCCCTCTTCTAACCCCTCTCCTTCCCAGAAAGAGCCTCTTAGCTCACCAAAGCCACTGGGGGCCTGACCTAGCACCAGCTTCCCAACTAGTCCAGCATCCAGGATCAGACACCAAGTAGGCCCTGGAGACTCAGATAAGATTCTCAGGATCTGGATAGAAGATAGGGGATGCAGGAGATGGGGGCAGGAGGCAGAATCATTTATTAGGTCTAGAAGAGCACTAATTCTGGTATCAGTGTTCAGTGATAGGGTGCCATGGCCCAGGACCCCCACTAAGAGCTTTATGTGCTTACCTGATTCAATCTCCAGTAAGTCCATGGGGGTGGGTACTGTTATCACCCACATTGTACAGACAAGAAAACTGAGGTTCAGGGAGGTGAGCAACCTACCTACTCAGAGACAAAAACTAATGGGTAGCAGAACCAGAATCTGAAATCCAAGCCTGCTGGCATTTGAGTTTGTTTGTGTTGTTTGTTTTTAAGATACTGCAGATGGAACCTAGGGCCTTGAGCATGTTATATAAGCACTGTCCTATTGAGCTACATCTCTAACTTTTATCCTTTCTAATTTTTTAAAGATTACTTTTATTTTTTATTTTTTCAAATATTTATTTTTATTTTATGTGTATCTGTGTATTGCCTGCATGTAGGTAAGTGCACCCATGTCATACAATGCCTGCGGAGGATATAGAGACTGTCAGATCCCCTGGAACTGGAGTTATAGTTGCTAGCTGCCATGTGGGTGTTGTGATTTGAACCCGGGTCTTCTGCAAGAACAGTCAGTGTTCTTAACCACTGAGCAATCTCTCCAGCCCAGATTATTTTAATTTTTTATGTGTATGAGTGTTTATCTACATGTATGTCTATGTGCCATGTGAACGGCAGTGCCTGCAAAGGCCAGGAGAGAACATCAGATCCCCTAGAACTAGAGTATAGATGGTTGTAAGCCACCATGTAGGTGTTGGGAACCAAATCCTAGTCTTCTACAAGAGCAGTAAATGCTTTTAACTGCTAAGCCATTTCTCTAGCCCCTTTTAAATTTTGAAATAGATTTCACTAAGTTGTCCAGTCTGGCCTTGAACTCACTCTGTAGCCTAGGCAAGTCTTGTGAATCTAACTGCCTCAGCTTCCAGAGTAGCTGGGATTACAGGTTGTCTTGAATTTGTTCCTAAGTGTTGGGTGATTCTGCAATGAATATCTCACGACATATGGAGAAGTAATAAGAGCAGGCTATAAAAAAGAATTATTAGTGTGATCCCAATTTCGAAAACAAAACAAAACAAAACTAGGTTTGCCAATGTGTGTACGGGACAATTAATGAGCTGAATTTATGTACATTTTATGTGTGTGTATGTATATGCGTATGTGTCGGTGTGCCTGTGTAGGTACATGTGTATGTTCAAACTTTGGTGCCATCCACAGGAATACCATCCACTCCTTTGAAGCAGGATCTCTCATTGGCTTGGAGCTCACCAATTAGGCTAGACTGGCTAGCCAGTAAGTTCTAGAGTCCTCCAGTCTCCACTTCCCCAGTTCTGGGGATACAAACATATAAACCACCTGCTGGCATTTACATGGGTGCAAGGAATCCAACTCAGGTTCTTGCACTTGCAAGGCAAGCACTTGACTGAATGAGTCACGTCTCCAGCCCTGAAATTGTTTTACAATCAGATTCTCTACTGTTATAAAGTTTCAAACATTGAGTATCTCAGGTCAAAATATAAAAAAGAGCTCTAACATACAAGCCAGAAAAGGAAGAGGAGGTTGGGAGGGGTTAGGGAGAGAAGAGGGAACAGGCAGATGAGTTCATGCAGTTGTCTGTGGACTTTCAGGTTATGGAAGGCCTTGTTCCTGTGGGTGGGCCTCACTGCCCAGCCTGGCTCCCAGGCCCCAGAATGCACGGTTTTGCTTCTAACTCTCCCTTGGCCCCTGCTGCCTGGGAAATCCAGCCACTTCTCAGCCACTATTTCCCACCTGCTGCATGGTGGGCCACAGCTTCTAGAGGAGGGGTCCCCAGACAGCAGGGGCTCAGTGGACGCCACTTGTCATCTGTCACTGTCATCTATCCTTCTGGCCCAAGTCCCTCTGATTGGTGCCAATGTTGGCTCTATCTCTATAGCATCTGCCATGGCTTCCCCAGATCTGCACCCATCTGGTATCCTCAGACAGCGTGTTAACAGGGACCCTGAACCTGGGGAACACACACACACACACACACACACACACACACACACACACACACACTTTCGGGCCAGGTGCTGCATGATCTTGGAACTTCCTGAGTCTCAGAGCCTTTGAATAAGAGACCCTGGGGTTGCTATGGGCTCAGGGTGGGCACAGGAAGCTGGTGCCAGGCTCCTACCCAAGCAGGTATAGTAGGAAGACACCATTCTCAGCCTGTTTCGTTTCAGCTATGATGGCTGCTTCAGTCAGCAGACCACTTCCCCTTTCTCCTCGTGGCCCTGGCCTTGCTGGCTCCTCCTGGCTAGGCTGTCTTTACGGTCCATAACTGATCCGGCCTGTGGCCTCAGAGCCTGGCTGAAGGAAGTCCTCTGGTATTTCAGCAAAGGAGATTCGTCCCTCCTGTCTTTCCCCAGCCTGTTTCAACTTCTTATCATGCTGCTCTCATCAATTGCAGCAGTATCCAAATGGGGTTTGTCCTGGGCAAGAGGCTACTGGCCCCTTGGTCCATCCAAGAGGTTTAGTCAACCCACTTCTTATTCAGAGGTTTGTCCCTTTTTAGAACTCACTGTTCCCTATCTTCACAGTCATGGGTGCGAGGATGAATAGCTTTGTTATTTATACCTTCCCAACAGTAGAAGGAAACTGAAACCAGAGCAAGGAAGGGACAGAGGGAAAGCTAGCGTCTGGTGAGAGAGCATCCTGCTTCAGCCGGCTGGCCCCTCTAGAGGAGGGTCAATGGGTCTGGGGGCTCCACTCCTTAAAGACTAACCCTGTCTTCCTCCATAGGCCCCTAGCTCAGTCCTGCCTGGCTGCCCTGGGAGTGAGGTCTCTGCAGAGGGATGGTATGGGACCTGGTTTATCTCCTCTACTCCGGCCAGTGCTTGGTGTCTATGGGAACCTTGGCTGCCCCCACCTGCATGACCAAGCTGGAATCTTGACACCACAGCTTGGCTGGGAGGCCACAGCACACAAAAGTTGGCAGCCTTGACCTCTGCCCACAGCCTGGAGTGGGGCTGCCCTCAGGGTCACATTCTGCGTCACAGCCCATCCTTGAGAACACATAGGACACCATGCCCCAGATTCTCTTTATGGTCCTGAGCCTCCAATCTCCAGTTGCTAGCTTGCTGGGAGACTAGACATGCATGTTCTGAGGGGCTCTGATTCTAATGCTACTGTGTCTGACCCTGAGGGCCCTCTGAACGCTCCTTCCTTACCAATATCCACCACCAGGGCCCTCTCAGAGCCTGCCAAGGGGAGAAATATTGGGGGCTCCAGGTTTGAGTTTCCACATTGCTCAGGAATGCGTGTGGCCTTTGCTGCACCCATAACCTCTTGTTGGCTCTGGAACAAGCTAGCTGTTCTTAAGCTTCGCTCTCTTCACCTATGGGATGAGAAGTCAGCCCTAAGAACTGCTGTAACATAGGTGTCATAAAGAGGGCTAGCCTCAGCCTTAGCACTAGGGCGAGGGCTTTAAAAACACTATTCTAGAATGGCCTGAGCACTAGACTCAGAAGTTCTAATTGTATGATTAGTTCCAATTTATAGAACTCGGGCCCATTTCTACTGAGAAAGAGGGTGAGGATTCTCTGACAAGAGCCTGAGGAAGAGATGCTCAGATTCCTCAGTAAATGCTTATGCTAGAGTCTGAGGCACTTCACCCACTGAGGACTTAAACACACCAGAGCTACTACCAGCCATGCAGTCAGAAGGGTCCTTGTAGGGAAACTGAGTCTAGGAGTAGTGTGCCCCAGGGACTGTTTAAAAAGCCTGTGCCCAAAGCAGCACAATAACCCCCAGGGGTGGTCAGTGCTTGCTGAGCATCACTGTGTGCAGGTCTGGGCTGCATTGGGGTGTTGAGTAGAGCTGAGCTGCTCCTGCCCGCAGTATCTCACCCCTATATCCAGGGCATGGCAGAAGGCACTTCTAGGAGGCTTCTTCTCAGGCTGGGGACCCTGGAAGGCTTCCTGGAGGCAGTGAGGACCTAAGCTGCTCTTGGAAGTTAGGGGAAGGTGGTACTTGGAGGGAGGGGCTTCCAGGCAGAAGAGACAGACAGGGTGGGGAGAAAAAGGAGGGGGGGCAGCAGGGCAGGCTGGAGAAGCCAGAGTCAGGAGCCTGGTCTCTGCTGCAGGACCCTGAAGGACCCACACTGGAGGGGTGTAAAAAAGGCTCTCTGGTTGCCAAAGTACTAGGGACAGATGGAGTTGGGGCAAGAGTGTGCCAGATGATATGGATTGGGATCCTCATCTGGCAGAGGCAGTGGGCATGGAGGCCAGACGAGGGAAGAATGAGAGTGTGGGGCCAGCAGAAGGAGGGAGACATGGGAGGGCTGCCCTCCAGGAGGTACACCTGGGGCCTCAGGAAGGGAGATGTTCAGAGTTGACAAATGGGGAGAGAGGGCAAAGGAGTTGGAGAGTGGGGAG